TTACCATTCTTTACCAATTTATATAAACATATATAGTGTGTACACACACACACACACACACACTTGCGTATTATTATGTGTTATTTGTACATTTTACGAAAAATAGGTACCAATACCTTTGGATCCTTTACACGCTGTCATAGTAGGAGCAGTGGAGACATCTTTAAAATCAACAGCAGCAGCGATTATCGTTACTACAACAACTGGACGCAGCGCTGTTCTGTTGTCAATGTACCGTCCTCGATGTCTGATTCTTGCAATTACTCGTTATGGAGTCGTTGCGAGATGGTTGCAAGTCTACTACGGTATCCACTCGCTTCATTACAGAAGTAAATATCTATCTTACGTTTATTTGAAAACAAATATACTCTCCTTTGTTTTTCTCTCTTGACTGTACTCATAGACAAAGTTAACAATACTGTATTATATTACATGAGAGATATTTAGTATTATAATACTATATTATAATAAGTATTAGCAGTTGTGCCAGATTATAATGTTATTAGTGGCTTAATGAAAATGATTATATTTGTAATGTAATGGTCAACATAGCGGAATCGTTGCCTGATTGGGGCAAAGACATACAAACCCGCATACAGACTGGTATCGATTCTCTCAGAAGAAAAAGATACATTAAAGTTGGCGATCCAATCGTGGTTATTAGCGGATGGCGTCAAGGAACAGGCTTCACTAACTGCGTGCGTATAGTTTACGTGTCACCTGGACGAGTGAAAAATCAAATCGCGGATTTCGAGCCTTGCTGTTGAGATATTTCACTTCTCCGTATGTGGCACGAATGACACCAATTTTCTTCATACCTAAAGCAACAAATAAAGCACTTTTAATTACGACTTTTAGTCATTTTTCTTATAACAAGTTTTTCCTATATAGAAATTGCCCTACTGATAAGCTGCAATAATTTACAAGTTGTTGAAACATATGTGAAATATCTAAATCAAATACTACCGTGAATCAATAGAAATCATATCAAGGAATAGCATACTGTACGATATCTATAATCCATGAAAAACTAATTAGCTATCTGTTATAAATGCAGGGTCAAGCTGCGATGACTAATAATTTATAGAAAAGATATCTTTACAGTAAAAGCATGATGGGACGCGATGATTATGTAGATATTGGAAATTATATTTATTTTCTATCGTCATCAAGATCTATTGTTACGACATATATCTATCATGCGTTCAGTCAAGTCAGCTCTGAACAAATGTTTATTCGGACATTAATGGTCAAGATGTTCAAGTGGATATCAATAATAATGCCAGAATGTAATTTCATATGCCCTCGTGTTGTTTACTTGTGACGTTCAATTATCGATTAGCTTTATCTTCTTTCTTCCTCAAAGGGGAGGAAAGAACTTGCAGTATCCTTTGGAAAAGATTCTACAAGTTTGAATAGCCAATTGGAACAAGAAACTAATCAGAACGAAAGAAATATTTCTACCGTCTATGGTCTATTAGTATGGCGTACTTGCATTTATGCTCTAATCATGGTTAATCAAGCAGCCTTTTCTAAGATCAGTTATTTCTTACTATTGAAACGTAATTGAACCCCTACTGAGAGTAGGGTCGAAGATTTATTCCTTATCCGTGAAACCTTGGTAAGCTTGAGCTCTGTGTATGTACGCAGTAAAGTAAAGGGAACGAAACAGTCTGGAAAATTCGAACTGACAATGTAAATCACCGATCCGAGCTGAAATTTATTGGCAGAAACTTTAAATTTCAAGCTCGTATCGACTAAAGGCTTTTCAATGTCTCTGATGTAAAAACAAGCAAGCAGCGATGGTAAAACGATTGTAGAGGACTAGTGAAAAATCATGCCACGTAGAGGAATCGTATGGAGAATGAATTATCGTAAGGGTAAGTGATTTCCTTCGTGTCGGTGGGAAAGGATGGAGGAAGAGAGTCCAGACTCGTGGCAGTTCGCATGCTCGCTTTCGAGTGGCCACCTGTGCTTACGCCCACGCTCTTCCACCCTGTTCAAACCATCTCAACCCCTATATATATATCAAGACACTCTCGACGCCCGCTTCATTTCTCATCGTTACTCTTCTATCGCAGCACTCTCCTAATTTCAACCTGAATCGAGTCTTTCATCCACATTCATTGTGAACCTAGTTTGCTTGGTGAGTTTTTGTTAACTTCTTCGCATTCAAGCTCAATGTGTTTACCTTATTTAACTGCTCTTTTAGTACTTTATAGAAATTTAATAAGATGTCGATTAAATTCTACGCGAAATCAATCTTGGTGTTTATTATTGCCGGCTTCGTCATTGGTGCTGAAGATTACGAAAATTATGGAGGTAAGTGAAGGAAGTTTAATATAAATTTAGAAAAAAAAAAAA